GTGAAGATGTCATAGAAGTCATATATATGGAGATGAACCCTGGCTTTTGGTTTTTTTTTTGTAGAGATGTAACCACCTGTACAGCAGTATGGATACTGAGGAGCCTGCAACTTTAGCTTACACTGTGAAATGCACTGAATTTTGTTGTACTTATTGAAAGTTAATATATTCGTACAGTTTATTTATATATTCTTCACCTCCCCAGCCCTACACAGTGTATAATTTAATTCTGGTGCCTTGTGTGTTTTATTACTTGCATTCAATTATTCCACTGCTGTTCCCAGTTGTTTCATATCGTTAACATTATAGTTGTCTGTCTTGTGTTTTCGTGTCGCCTCTTCACATTATCTCTTCAAGGTTTGAGGTTTCTTTGTGCTTGCATGATCTCAGACAACATCGGATCTATGGAACCTACTGTGTGCAAGCATTACTTTTTTTAATAAACTTCTTGAGGTTTATCAGCAGCTTCAGAGGATTAACCAGTCCTCTGCATAGAAGTGTGTGCAAGTACTAGAAGTCTATTTGTTCAAAGGTATCTTAACTGAAAAATAAATTGTAAAAGGAGACCATATCCATAAGTATAACCAGGAGGGGGGAAGGGAGCAGAGTTAGGGCTGGGCTTTCAACCTTAATTCTGTATTTCAAGAGTTCTGAATGCTTGGTTTGTTAGCATTAGTGCTGCACTAACTTCGGGTATTTTTCCATGAGAGTGTGTGTGTTTAACCAACTAAGCATGAAATCCCTTGCTTCTGTTTGTCCCTATTAAATAGTGGCAACAAAAGAAACAGACAGGAGATGGGTCCAGAACAAAGCAGAAATAATGGAGTATTTCACCCCAAAAAGGAGAGTGAAACGAGAAGTACAATGAGTAGGCAAAGACAGACTCAACAGCTGGAGGCAGTTTAATGTGTTGTAGGGAGTACTAATTCAGGGACATTTGCTGCCCAGAGCTTCAATCTGTGATCTCTGATTGGCACATATATCAGAAGTGTTTTGCCATCCCTGCTATAAATACAATATGCTTTTCCCAGAAGAAATCTCCATAGGGCTTTAAGGGACACTGTCTAGGATTTTCAGCATAAATACTTGTCTGCCTAAAACCCAGAATCATCTGGTTGGGTTAGAAATGTGTAAGGAGGAGTAGAACTGGCTAGCTTCTTCCCTTAACTCTTACAAAATGATTCTACATGCATGTGCAACATTCATGCACACTGAAAAGTAAAAGGAAAGTAACAGTGCTGCTGAATATTGCAAAGATTTCTGCAGACTGCACCACTTACTACTCCCAGTTTCCTGGATAAATCCATTGTTTTTTTAAAAAACTGCTTAAATGCATACATTTTTGAAGGTATCTTATTGTTTTATTTTCAGTATTTAAAAATATGTAAACTATATGTAATAGTTCATTAAAAAAATTAACTCCTGACTCTCCCTGCCTGCCTCTCTTTGGATGCCTATTTTCCCCACCTAGTGGCTATATCTTTGAGTGTCATATTCTCAAAAAGTACAAAAGCTGACAATTTGATACCTCATTTCCTTTATACTAAGTAAGGTCTTACCCTGATATGATGAGAAGGCTCAAAATAATGTTCCATTTTTGTTTCTAGTAGTGAGGTCTGAATACATGACTATATCCCAAGCAACCTTTCAGTCACTGTGCCAACTAGCTCTACGTGACCCTGTATTTGCAGTAGTCCGATGTTTTCTTCTCTGTCCGCTCTGACACTTCTTCTAAGAGTCACTGTTTGGTTTAGAGTTTGTTTCGTAATACCTAAAAGGCAGGATTTTATTGTCCTTTGAGCAAATCAGGTTTGGGAATCAATGGAGGAGACTTCCAGGTCTATACCTGTTAGTTCAAGCTTTTTTATGCCTTTTGGGTTGCCTAAATGGAGTGGCCTATGCTGGTTTGAGAAAGTCAGTTGTGAATTGAGCAATTCTCTCAATGTTTTTGATATATTTGTGTTTTGGAGTTCTGGAATGATTTCTTTAGTTACTGGTACACAGTTCATGCAGTTTTGTGGTTTCCAGAGTGCACTGTAATACATGATGACATAAATAATGTGTAGTTCTAGTCCATGGTTATAAAATATTTCAGGATGCATTTCCTGTCTACAATAAAATGTATATAAGCTAAAAGATGTAATTCTATTTGAATGGTATGTGACTTCTGAATTTTCTACTCCCCACAGATACTGTGTAGCTACTAAATGTGGCTGCCACAGTTGTGACAATAAAGATTTAGTCTCTGTAATGGATACTTAATTTGCCCTAACTTTGTTAGGAAGCAGGTAACTTTAGGCTGCTGAGAGAACAGGAAGAGAGTGATCAGGGTGTTTGTATAGTGATATTTCCAGTGGGAAAGATGTTCATTGAGCTTGAGTAAGGAGGATTGCAAAACAAGTTTATTAAGTCTAAATCTGTTATTACAAGCATCCCCTTCAGTGTGCTCTAGAATTTCTCATCTCAGCTGCTGTTAAGTGCTGTACACAATAGCTTAAGTTTCACCAGCTTTTTGAAGCTAGAATATTAAAAAATTGTTTTCACTACAACTAAACTGATTTACTGAAGGAAATTAGCCTAGCAGAAGGACAAAAACATGAATATAGCAAAGGTATGGGAGTCATATCAAATAAAATAGAAGGGTGGTCTGGAGGGAGCCATGTTCCTGTCTTCTAGGAGTCTGTCTGAAATTTTCATGCCTAACTGTGCTTAGTAACAACGGATAAATGAGAGGGTGGTGAGTCTGCACGTGCTGCTTTGGAGATGCACTCTGACCTGGATTTTTGATCTTGTGTTTCATCCACAGCACATAAAGATTCTCCAGACTAAGTTAGACTTAAGGACTTCGCAGTAGAGAGATCTTGAAGTTCACAAAACCTTCCTGACACCCACAGAGCCTCCATATATGCTCTGCAAAGAGCAGAAATTATCTTCCACAGAACTATATGTTATTAGATGTTGTCAGGGCCTGAGGGTCACGTCTGGTTGCATAAGAAGCAACACAGTGGCTGGACAGAGAAGTACAGCATTGCATCAGCTTGTCTATTCCTTTATATTTTTCAAAGTGACATCAAGAGGTTGTTGCAAAGATGCCATGATGACAGGGACAAATTGAATCCTTTTAAAGACTGTCTGTAGAGGGTCCGACACACAGCCTCAGGAGCTCTGGCAAGCTCTGAAGGGTTTTATGTGGCCTTCAGCTTGATATCCATTAAGTGGAAGCTCTATTTAAAGGAGTTTATCTTGTTCAATGAACTCAGTTGGCCTTTCTCACTTAAGTACCACAGTAGAATGTTTGCTTTGGCTTTGTAAAACCTATGAGATAGGTACAAACCAGTAAACAGAACATCAGTAAATAAAGCTAGAAGGCAAGTTTATTCCTTTAAGGTATGGAGGCATACAAGGGCCAACTGTCTTAAAATAAAATCTTGATAGATATTATTTTTAAAATCTGCTGCCTTTATTCAGCTTAAATATTATTGTACATATTCTTACTTCTCCTAAAATGTTTCCTTTCTCTCTTTTAAAAGGTGCTGAAGTAGTTTTCTAGCTTTCACTGAGTTTGTCTTTTGCTTCTTCAAATGAATGATAACTGTTTTGGCAGCAGGTGTAATAGCTTACCATCTATACTGAAAGAATCCAATTAAAGTTCTGCGTTGAGTGAGCCGTCCTTTTATAATCACATTCTCACTGGACGACTTGCTCACAGGGTCAGACCCCACTGTTTGTGTTAGAGCCTTACTGACATCAGTGCAGTTTCTCTGCTCCTCCAGTAGCCCTCAGCGAGAAAACCTGGGCAGTTGTCAAGACAAAGTAGGTTAAGGTTGTAAAGACTGGATTTCTTTTCCTGCAATCAGTGCAGTGCAGACTTGTGGTTAAGATGGAAATAAAGAGCTGGGGCTGTGTAAAAACAGAATGTGTGAGAAAGGGCTGATTGCACAGACATGTTTTCCTTCGCTATTAGAGCAGATGTCGTCCGTTGATATAAAGGTGGCAGATACTGGGGAAAAGGTTATTTTATATGTATAAATATAAATATATAAAAATATATATGTATTTATTTTTATATTTATATATATTGGGGTGGCGGAAGTCTACCTTGGAAATTAGTGGGCAGTTATGCTCTATACATAAAATACAGACTTCCTAGCTTTCCTGGAATTGTATGCTTTTAAGTTTTTACATAAAAAGTTTCTAAGTTTCATATAAACAAAGAACTAAAGAACTTAATGAAGGCCTGAGGAATCTTTTGGATAAACTTGGCTACTTTGACAAAACTGTTTAAGTGAGCAGAACTGTGAAGTAGAATTTGTGTAAGAGATTTTTATTTGTTTACATCACAGTTCATTTATACTTCTCCAGGGGAAGAGAGAGATCTATCTGTTTTTTACTAGAGGTATGTCCAGCAAGATTGATTGATTGATTTACTTGCACACTGTACCCTTTAACAGCTGTTGTTATGAGCTAAAATTCATGACAAAACAAACCCAGAAAGGACATTAGTGGAGCAAGGGTCTCTGATTCTTTTCTCTGACAACAGGTAGAGCCTGGTCAGCAGCTGCTTAGGATTGGCTCTGATATTCACATGGTATTGCATGAAATTGGCACAGGAAGGAAACTCGTGCATAATCAGCTGCAAAGCTGTATAGGGCACGTGCCTGTCTCATGGTGTGAGCAGGTGTGCACTGTTTTGTGCAGTTTGTGAGCTTTTGGGAAATGGATGTCATATTCCTCACACCAGCTTTTTGAGGTTTAGGTGAAAAGTTAAAATGTATGTTTGTTTTCTTATAAAGTTGGTCTAGATTTTAGTTGAGGTGATCTTAGTCTATTAATTGTTTACTTAGTCAAAATAATAACTTGGAATAATAATTTGCTTCTCACCAGTGCCTTTAAGTTTATAAACTTCCTTCTTAGAAGGTTAAATGAATAAACATTTGCAAAAAAGAAAAGTAACCTCTTTCTTTTGTTTTTGTTTTGTTTGTTTTGCCCTGCCCTGGCAGTGTTTTAGAGCCCTTTGCTGCAAGGGACCGCCACCACCACGACCCGAGTATGACTTGGTTTGCATAGGCCTCTCTGGTTCTGGCAAGACAACTCTTCTGTCTCAGCTCTGCAGCGAAAGCCCGGAGAATATTGTGTCTACCACAGGTAGGATGCTGCCCATATTCCATAGTGTGCTGGAACGTTGCCCAAAGATAACTCCTGAAACACATAGCAAAGGCTGTAGAGAGCTTCAGCCTACTTATCTTGCTGTTGAAAGTAGCTAATGGATCACTTTGGAACTACCATTACTTTCTTTCAGTATTTGTTCATACATTGGGGAATATCCATGAAAACATACTGTTTGAAATATGTTAAAAGTCTAAACAGTGTGATCTGATGAAGCAGAACCATAACATACAGTAGCACTGTACTGTAGACATACATTAAAATATTCCTTCTCATTTTACTTTTGATTTTTAAACAGTCTCACTATATATTGGGGAGAAAGGAGGAGAACCTGCTGTAAAAGAGAATAGGACAGTGATGCTCTGAAACTAAAATTGGGATTTATTCCTGAACACACTTGGTCCACACTGCCTTGTGTTATCTGCTAGAAAACAAAAGAATAAATGTAATGGAAATACTTTTTTTTGGTGATAATCCCAGCTTTTTAGATGAGCAACAGGCTTGTTTATGTAGTAAGGGCAGATTGTGATCAAAGAATCAATTTGCAGAAAGTTACAGCAGTACTGAGAAGATATATAAAACAGACAGTACAACCACAGATAAGAGGTACCTTAAGTCCAAAAAATTTGAATAGGCATGTTGTTAATGGTGAACCAGAATGCCTAATACTGAAAAGCATGTTCTGATTGAAAAAAACCCAAAACAAAACCAAGCAACCAACAAAAAACAAACAAAGAACAAAACAGCACCAGAAAAGCCAGAAACAAACACGTGAAGTAATAAGAGGGAATACCTGGCTGGAAAGTTCAGAAAGAGGGCAGATTAGGTCATGGAGGTTGAAGAAATCTGGTTCAGTGGCTGCAGCAGTTACTGAGGTTGATTTGCTGATGGAATGGATACTAAGTGTTGTGCAAGTACCTTGTGTTTACAGTTACATGGCTTTGTACTGTAGCTGCGGTTCATGAGCTTGAATTCCATGATTGTGCCTTAGCAACCCTAACTGTTTTTCAGTGTATGTTTTCTTAATTTACAAGAACATAAGATTATTCAATACAACTGTAAGTAAAATGTAAAACAGATACAAGAACATAGTGTATTTATTAACCTGTGAATAATTAACCTGTGGCCTCTATAGTGGTGTTACTGGCAATATTGGAGAGATCTGACGGTTGTGAAAAGGTGACTTAACTCAAAAAGTTAGAAGGAAATTGCAGAGTAATGAGCCATTTTTTAAAAAAAATAAAAATATCCTTCTCTTGAGCTTTATCTCTGGGGTTAGAACAAATTATGCTTTAGCACTTTTGACCCTGAAAGAAATAGTAACAGCAATATAAATAGAGGTATAGAGCTATCAGAGGAAGTAATGAAAACACAAAATTAAAAATTAAATTGATTTACTTTTTCTAGAGAGATGCAATAAAAATCATTATGTAATTAGGCAACTCGAGGAACGCAGACCAACTCTGGAGAATACGAGGCAGGCAAACCAAAATTATGCATATGTAGGTTATTCAGCTTATAATTAATCTTCTTAAATGTGCCATATCAGACAATATTGTGGAGAATCCAAGAATACAAAGTGACAGCTTCTCCACTTAGGTTTCTAACTATAATATATATTTTTGCTTTTTTTTCATCAAAGCCACTCAGTCCGTTCCATTTTTTATTTTTTTCTCAGAAGAGTTTAGGATTTCTTTTAAGACAACAGTCCCAAAAATATCAGATAATTATTTCCTTCAGATTTTCTTGTACCTTCCTCTATTGCATCTAGCACTGACCATAGTAGGAGTACTGTACCATCTTATTGGTCTAACTAGGGAGAAAAAAAATCTTGTTTCTTTTAAATGATAGCTAATAAATGTGAAGTGAAACACATTTTCTCTAAACTTCTTTACTCAGTTCATAGGTATGTAATCACATTGAAACTACTTGTGCTAGGTGGAAATAAATTTAATGTCTGTCTGGATATTTTTTGCTGAAAGATTGGACATATATTTTCCTATATAAAGTGTTATGTGCGCTTATATATGTGTATGCACTGAACATGAAAAATTTAGTGTATACTACATTGATATGGCTGGCAGCCTTTCACATTCCCTTTCTCTTGTCTATCTGAATTTTCAGTTAAGGGTAATGATCACATTTTGATGGTGATTTTTTATTTGGTTGTTTTTTTAAATTTTTTCTTCCAGTTTTAAGCAAAAACCAGGCTATTAGAGCATTTGTAGATGTTTCCAGTGTGCTTATGACCATTTTAATGCATCCAACTAAGGTCTGTAGAAAGATCTTCCAGTTAATAACACTTATAGAAAGGAATAATAATCCAAGTACAACCAAAACCTATGAAGTTTAAATGGAAGAATACAGTGATTTGAATTGCATGTTGTCTTCAATGTCTCCTAAAATTTGCAGAATAATCACCTCATATTACTGGTAGTCTGAATTATCCACTTTAGCTCCAGATGCAGTAAAATATGATTTTATAGAAGGATATTCTGTTAGATGGTCTGGATGGAAGTTTTGGGCTAAATTTTGTGTGCCAGGTACTTAAAATTGAAAATTGCATTCCTTATCCTTATTTATTCTTGTCCTACTTCATGGAACTTGTCCAACTCCTACCCCCTTCACATTCCCTTAAAACTGACTTTTTAAACACATTGAAACAGATTTCTCAGGCAAAATCCTGGTTCTTGATGGAAAAAGTTTTGTTTTTTTTTTCTGAATATATGCAATTGATTGCAAATGGCTCCTTTAACAAATAGCTTACAATGCTCTTTATTTCTCTTCTCAGGTTTTAGTATCAAAGCAGTGCCATTCCAGAACGCAATTTTGAATGTGAAAGAACTTGGAGGTATGGCATTTATTCCTTTGTTTATAAAACATGCAATGTCTAAATCTCATTGTAACTGTCAGTTGTTTTTAATTGGTAGTTATTTTAATTTTAAAATGGTAGATTGGTATAGCTGGAGTTAAAAATCTCCAATCTCTGATAAAGCTGAGAAAAGTTTTACAAATCCTGACCTCAGAAACAAAGGGTGAAAAGCAGGAGGAGTGGAAAGCGTGTGATGTGTCTTCTTAACGTAATTTCTTGGATTGCAGTGGTTAAATTATACAGAAATACAAACTGGACTGTAATTTTAGTATGGCTCATGTGGCTGCTCAAGGAAGTGTATGTTCCTTGTGTTTATTGTATGTATAAACTTTCACTTATGAGAACTGGCTCAGGTAACTATGTGAACATTTGTCAAAACCAATATATTTACTGCACCACTGAAAGTGTTGCAAAGGCAGCCAACTTATAATGAGTTATATTCTTTGAGAACTGTTCTCTTGTTGGATTTATTGGATTTTGGAGCAATAGTTGTTTTATGGTTGTAGGATTTTTTTAAAAGTTTCTATATACAAGGCAAGCTATTCGGCTCCCAATTCTGACTCTGAGTCTCAAGTGAGGTTGTTCATGACAAGGAAGAAAACACTCCCCTGATGAGAATTCTTGTGAAGTCTAATGCTCTTCTAATTTAAAACCCACTTAGATCATCTTGATATTCTAGAATTTCTGTATGTCGTCTTTATTATTTATTATTAATATTGAGGATATTTATTAGATTTTTCAGCAAGCCTGTAACCTCTTTTAAATAATGTGCGGTAGAATTTGACTCAGTTCTTGAGGAAAGTTTCAGGAGATATAATTGCATGGTAGTTTTCTTACCTGAACTTGTTTCAAGAAAGTTTTGAGATAAGTACATGTGGAAGGCATGGTCCATGGATTTAAATATACATGTCCCTGTTTGAGCATGTATTTTGTAAAAAAAAACAACAAACCCACCAAAAAACCCAGTGACAAGGGGTCACTCCTCGGGGATAGTATAGATACTGCTTGAATGTGTTATGTGCATTATGTGCACTTAGTTGTAATGTCACTTTTTGTATTTTTTCAAAAATAGGGTGAATCATTTGCAGTCTAGTTTATATGTTCTGCTACCTAAGCTATATCAAATACATAATCTGTGTAGGTAAATACAATTTTTGATCAAGAACTGGATCTGTGTATTCTATAGCAGATACTTGTTAAAGTCTCTTAACCATTTCTGATTATACGACTTTTATGCATGTATGTGTGTTTTGAGAAATCTTATCTAAGTGAAGAGTCTTGGCTCATGATGAGAAGCATCCAGAATACTTGATTTGTTGTTTTCATCCATTTATCTCTTCTCAAAGACAGAAGGATTGTCACAATTTTTTACTGCACTTCTTATTTTCTTTTTCCTTTGACTATGGGTGTTTGTATGTCTGTATTTAAAAACTAAGTTATTTAAATAAAATACAGACATGTTTGCATGTATTTAAAATATGTAATCTGATTTCTTATATGAAAAATTGCAGAAAAATGCTTGTTCTGTTACTTTTTCACTGTCTAGGTAAGAGAGCAAAAGCAAGATTCTAAAAGTTTGTTTTGTTCCAGAAGTTAATGGTCACTAGTGGTGTTCCCTAGGACTCATTTTGGGTCCCAGTTTTCTTTAATATCTTTATTGATGCTCCGGACAAGGGGATCAAGTTCATTCTCAGTTTGCAGATGACACTGATTTGGGTGGGAGTGTTGATCTGCAGGAGAGATGAAGTCCCTGCAGAGGGCTCAGGACAGGCTGGATCATGGGCTGAGGCCAATGGTGTGAGGTTCAACAAGGCCCAGTGCTGGCTCCTGCCCTTGGGTCACACCAACCCCAGGCAGTGCCACAGGCTGGGGCAGAGTGGCTGGAAAGGACCTGGGGCTGCTGGTGACAGCAGCTGAACATGAGCCAGGCTGTGCCCAGGTGGCCAAGAAGGCCAATGGCATCCTGGCCTGGCTCAGCAATAGTGTGGCCAGCAGGAGCAGGGCAGGGATTGTCCCTCTGTCCTGGGCACTGGTGAGGCCACACCTGGAGTGCTGTGTCCAGTTCTGGGCCCTGACTGCAGGAAAGACACTGAGGGGCTGGAGTGAGTCCAGAGAAGGGCAGGGGAGCTGGGGCAGGCTCTGGAGCACAAGTGCTGTGAGGAGCAGCAGAGGAAACTCCTCAGCTGAAAGGGTGTTTAGTCTGGAGAAAAGCAAGGTCAGAGGTGACCTTATCACTCTCCACAGCTGCCAGAAGGGAGGCTGTGGCCAGGTGGGGGGCACTCTCTTCTTCCTGTCAGCCAGCAACAGGATGAGAGGACATGGACTCAAGCTCAAGGGAGGTTCAGGCTGGACATCAGGAAGAATTTCTTCGTGAAAACAGTTGTTAAACATTGGAATGACTGCTGAGGGAGTCACCATCCCTGGAGGTGTTCAAGAAACAACTGGATGTGGCACTTAGTGCCATGATCTACTTTACAAGGTGGTGATAGGTCAAAGGTTGTACTTGATGATCTTAGAGGTCTTTTCCAACCTAAATCATTCTGTGATTCTCTAGTCAGCATTTAACCTTTTAGCTGAGAAACATGTTCCTGTTTGATGAGGGTAAAACCTGAGATTTCTGGACTAGGCATGGTTTCTCTCCTGCTCCTATGTGAAAATAAAACATTTTACATTTGTCATGCCAAGACATTACTGTTACATTTTACTTCGGAATTTCTGCTTCTGATGTTGAAGAGAAGCCCTTGTTTTGCCTGATTGCTGCAGTTTTTTGTCTTATTCCTGGCTTTTGTCTTCAGTCATTATGCTATTGTTAAATAATTTCTCTTTACTGTGAAGGAAACTTGAGGGAAGGCATCTTTTCTTAACACCCGCTTCTATTGTTACATGTTATTTACAAAGTGAAGTTCTATATAGTTTTAATTTTTATTGCTTTCTTTTTAGGCTTAAGTAACAAAAATCTTCATATGTTATCATACAGTAACATATTAACAGCCACTATTTAAAATACAGCAGAAGTTATACTGGTTAAGGTTCTTATATTCAGCAGCCAAGCATTTATGTGAAACAGATGCTGACTATGTAGTTATGTTTCTGTTTCGTTGAAGTAGTATTCTTCCTTGAGGTCAAAGATGGTGCTAGTTTTTACTGTGCTGGTTGTCTCCAAAGATGATAATGAAGCCAGGTTTTATTTCTTTGTTTCTACAGGGACTGTAAATTTTCAGGCAAAATATGTAGAACATAGTCTCTCTTCTTTAATCTGTTCAAGGAATGATTATCTCTTCATCCTCTTTTAAGATTTAAGGACAGGGAGCAAAGTTTGTTGTGCTCTCTTTGAAGAAGTTTTTCTTTGAAGTGCATGATTCTAGAATATTAAAAATTGAACCAAATTTCTGGGTTTTTTAAATTGTTTTTGTTTCCTAAGACAGGAAATTGCAGTCCTAACAGAAAATAAAGGGTTTATCCAATTTGATAAATGGTAAATGTTTTTTCTAAAAACCTGGAATTTGATCCTGAGAGCTTTCAAATCTAACATTGGGTTTTCTTGAATTACTTGAAAAGGCAGTCTTGCTTTATTTGATGACAAAGTTGAACTGCCTGGTCTCTAAGTTGCTATTTTGCTATACCAGTAATTCCTTCCTTATCCCCCAGAAGCTAAAAAAATTACTGTTTTTTTCCCCCCCAAAAATTTGGTCTATAAGATAATATGTATAATTTAAATTAACATGGAGATGTGCCATGCCCTAGTCCACATTCTTTCAGAATGTACCAGGACAGTTGGAAATATCTGTCTTTACTATGAGACTGCTGAGTAATGGTATGGAAAGAAACTACAGTTGTGGTGATTTCCTCTTATGGTGCAGTAATTTTTTGTGGGAGCTAAGGATGACACTGTGTGTGATGAACACAGAGAAGAGTGGGAGAAGACTGCGGAAATCAGACAGATGATAATGTTTGTTGTTCAGAAGATTCTACAGTGTTTGGTTGAAAAAAGTCTGGGATACTGAACACTGAGGTTGGTTCTCAAGATAGCTAATCAAGGAGTAAAGGCAATAGGATGCTTTTTCTTTTGTTCTAACAAATTTCAACCTGGAAACACAAAGGCTGAAAGCACCATTTATTTCCTGTGTTTTTTCAATTATTTGCAGTTGTAATGCTGTCAAAACAGAATATAAAGTTGTGGTTTAAATATTTATTCAGTCCTATATCAAGATTTAAGGTCCATCCTGGTAGTCAACTAAGAATTTCCAGTTGTCTTTTTAGAATAAGTTATTTAATAATTTCATTTGGTGTCTTGTAAAGGCAGAGTTAAAAACTACAAGTGAGATGCCAAATAATGACCCAGGTCAAATTTAAAAGAATGATTCTGGATGTGAGCAGCTCTTCTTCTTAAAAAGTTTAAAAATACTAGCAGCATTCTATAGGGTTTAGTAATGTTCCATCTTTTATTTATTAAAATGTATTGTCAATATGTTTGTGTTAGGTTTTGTGATACCCCCTAAAGCCATTTTCTAAAATGTAGAGACTACACATTGTATAGTCATATTGGAAAATTGACTTAGGACAAAAATCTGTTAAGTGCTTAGCAAGAGTGGAGTGGTTAATATCAGGAATGCTCTTGTCTCCAGTTGGTTGAGCCTGCCCAGGAAAAGAGATGAGAACTTGCCTCCCTACTGCTGTTACTTCTTAAGCTTGATTACCAGAGTCATAAATTCACATTCTTAGGCCAGCTAAATTAATTGTCTAGGTGACAGCTTGAGAACAAATAGCTTAAAATAGGTTTAGTTAAACAAAGCATGCGTATTTTGCCTTAATTTGGAAGTAAAGAGCATCAGAAAAGAGAGTAGGAGGAGAAGCCATGCTGTTGTGGAGTCCAACTTGAATGGAAAAGATGAGATTCTGGAGAAGACAGCAACAATTTTCAGGTAGTATCTGCCGGGTGAAAAAAATTATAGATGTGGGAGAAAATAACATTATTCTAT